TTTCACGAACAAAACCATTCTTGCAGCAAAATAATTGTAACAATAAAAAATAATTGAAATAAATAATAATTATAGTAAATAATTAAAATAAATAACAATTATAGTAATTATATGAAAAAAAAAAATTAAAAAAAAAATTAAGCCAACCAGGCTCTTATTTTAATCAGATTGTATAGAAACAAGACGAGAAATTCCCCAATGACAGTATATAGAGCAGTGATTGTGTTGCGCTAAGTTCAAATCCCAGATTCACAGTCAGTTCGTCCCAATTTTGTTCAAATTCACATTCGTTTGCAAAGCCTTTGTTTAGGTTTACGATCTCGTACAGGGTGATGCCGAATTCTATGTTAGTATAGATAATCAATGTGATGCATATAAATTAAATCGGAAAACCTTTACAACAATATTTTCTTTATTCCCGATATGCAGAAAAAAAAGAACTTGTACCATGTTTACCAACACTATGGCACATTCATTATACTATAATCATGAAATGTGAATAACCTGATAGAACTTTCGGGGTGATGTTGTATGCACGACGAGTGCGGGAAGATGGTTAGATCCCAGAGCACCGTCCGGACGGTGGTTAGATACACTTTGTTGGTCACAACACAACTTATTTTCGTAAATCAATTAAATAAAATTCATTTTAAATATGTGATAAGTATATTAAATGTAAATCAATAATAGCGACAGTCTCACTTGGGGGGGCAAATAGTTTACTGAAAAGATCCCAATTTGGGACCTATAGAAAATAGAATAAAGTAAATTTTGTTTATACAGTGTCACATCTTGAAGTGAAGCACTTGAAAACATATTTGCTGAAAATCTTATTTGGGTTCGTGATGCTTACAAGATTTTCTGTTCCTACTTATTTATCAACTTAGGCCAGACTTTTATTATCCCTTGTTTCGCGAACCCGCCGAATGAACAAGAGCCGAAAATGAAATAAAAATAAAATTTTATTTCAGCGTAATTTCTCTTCATTTTGTTACCGCCCGCCGCATAACAAATCCAAGTTGCATTTTCGTGGGAGTATCATGATCGAAGTCTCGCGTAGATGAGAAACAAGGTTATACATGGAATAAAATTTTATTTCATTTCTTCTCTCCGATCAATGATCTCACTTACCATTCTTTGAGAATCACATAAATCTAATGGAAAAAAAGAATTAATTTTATTTTTTTTCGCCCTCCTCAAAAAAATTGCCTTATAAACACTTGAGAAACAAGGAATAAAAAATGTCTGGCCTTAGTTGCAAAAAACCTCTGAAATCATTGTATAGACACCATGGTATAGACTACATTTTAGCATGGCATTCATTCTTTTTTTTTTTTGCTTTATAGTTTTACGTTTTATGATTTTTAACTTTATTGTCAGTACATGTTGTATATAAATATTCTTCGAATATAACTTGGCATATATTAGCGATAGTTCTAGACCAACCCTCTCACTCCTATGTTATACATGTAGGTTTTCTATAGTGTTCATTGACGTGGGCCTCCCGAACGTCTTTCAGCCTTGACAGAAAGTTCGGTGGTGATATATTGAGTCCCGGTAAGTCAAAATTACACTTACTGGTTCAAAACAGAGTACAGCGTTTACATGATTAAGGTAATTGTCTCAATGTGTTTCAAGTTTTTTTGTTAGATTCAGTCCGACTTCAGTCTGCCAAAACAATATTGTTCTCTTGAAAATCTTGAAAATATTCAGAAGAAATACTGAAAAAGTCTCGCCTAACATTTCTGGTATCATAACATTATATAATATGGAATTATGTTGATGATGAGTACGACTTTCAACGTGAGTTTTGTTGGCCCCCAATGCGAGCAAGATTATAAAATACTACATATTAATGACAATAACGGTACAAACCATGAGTTGCGTACAGGAAAATTGCATGTGTAAAATCTGTGACTGCAATTAGAAATTCCAAGTTTGAGTTGCTATGACGTAACTCGGTGCTCGTGTCTTTCAAATTGAAAGGGTAGATATAATAACATAAATGCTGAAGATAGTATCTGTTTGTGGCCAACGAAAAATTGAGAATGAAAGACATTTTCTCCTCATCTACAAACTATAAGAAAAGTGAGATAACCTTATTAAAAATATTAATTACAATGAAATCAACTTTTTGACGAATATCTAGCAGATCTGCTAATAAGTGAAAATAACCAAACAATTATTGAGTTTGCTAAATTCATCCACTTGTTTCAAAATGCCAGCTGGCACGAACAACCAACACACGATGAACCCATTTCATTCCTTTTTTATGTATATAATTTTTTCAGTGCTGTTTTTCATCTGTTGTTTGGTATTTTACTAATTGCCAAGACCACTTGCTCGGATACAATAAAGCATATAATTATTATGTTTTCGTCCACATGTTTTCGTCCATCATGCTCTAAAAAGTAAAAACGTTTTTCACGGGGAAAAGTGTTTTGAAGTATGGCAAAATATATATTTTCTTGAAGCCCCTTGTTCCTGGCTTTTTGAAAAAAAAGTCTGCGATATGTACCACAAATTAGTTACGTGATTACTAAGTAAACATAGAGGTGTTATTTTGAATAAAAGTGAGTTTTGTGTGAAAACAGCGGGAGTTTTGTAAAAAAAAAGATAGCTGAAAAATCAAGGCAGCATCAGCCCCGTCAATGCCTCGAGAGCGTTAGAACGTAGATCGCATACTTGTTTACAATGAAAGTAATTTACATTTTTCCTGTTATTTAACCAATGGACTATGAATTTAATTTTTTTTTTTTATTACGAGGAGTTATCAAAAAATGCTTATAGAGTTTTATTCTGCGCCCATACGTTATCAATGTGTGTAAATTTCATGAATGTAGGCCAATTTCTGAGGACGCACAACTCTCTTGAATGACCTCTGTGGCGGCAGATTTCTTCTGCCTGAAAACGCCAAAAAACAAAACATTTGTCATGTTGCGCTAATTTTGGACATTTAAAGCATCAGATGGACTGAATTTTACATCAAAACGCAGTACACAGAGTCACTAAGTGGCCTTGTAGTATTAAAATCCAAAACTATAAAGTTTTGGTCCCGTATTCGTCCTGCGAAAAGAAGCGAAGTTGTTATAGCCACAGCGGCCCCACATAACATTGAACAGTTAGAGAGACAAATGACGTCATCTCACTATGTATTCAAATCATGTTTACTTGCGAAGCGTAGTCTGTAAAAAAAACACTTGCCTAGTAACCGGAGAAAAAGGTCGACATGCCTAAACGCCAACCCCTAGTACCAGTTAACTCAACAACCTCCGACGTTTTGTCAACCAGGGGTGAACTTGTCTCAGAAATGAATGCACTGGGGTGAGTTCCATGGTTCATTACACTTATCTCGCATACTCTCTATTATTTGCAGTGAATTGCTAGCGCGTTAGCTCAGTGCAGTCTTACCGCCAGTGTCGAGCTGCAGGTTCGCAAGAAATTGTTTTATGTTTTCATTACATCGTTTGGACGTTACGGTATTACCAGTAGACTAACAAAAATAAAACAATTTCCTATGAAACCCAGAATACAGCTAAAAAGTGGCGATTTTTTTTTTTATTTCCATAGAAATATTTGTTATTATTTCTGGAACAGTATAATTGCATGTACTACTATTACCCACAGGTTCTACTCAGATGGCTGCGGACAGAAGATCCAAATAATGTAAATGGGAAATAAGAAAGGTAAGATAAATTTGTAAAATTCAGCACGTGAACAAAAATGGCAGAACGGAAAATCCACAGACTCGGCGACTCTGGTACGCCGTCACGGCACATTCACGTTAACAATAATTTTATGTTCAAGTGTTTAAGAATAAAAATCACAGTTTTTAATATTTTCCGACTTCACATGAAATTCTCACTATTAATTCCGTCACCAATATATTGATCATTTCTTTTTCTTTTTTCAGGGCGCACGCAAGATAAGTTTAGAAGAATTCTGCAGTGCTATTTGCTACCGCCACGATAAATGGCTGTAGAGGACAACTCCTGATTCATTTGTTTTTTTAATGTATGGTGCAATTACTGAAATAAAAAAAATTAGAGAGAAACCTAAATTATGCCTGTTAGTGTTTTTTTATTAATATCAGAATATTCCAGTTGGATTCCTTGATTTTGGTTTTACAAAAATATTCGCTCTAGTTTTGACCAGTAGTTTTCTTTGAGAAATAATTTGAATTTTCTTTCTGAGAATTGACTTAGAATTTTGAACTCGTACCCAAATGATCTATATATATAGTTTATTGTCATGTTTGATTTCGGTTCTAGAATACCAATGATAACACCAAGTAATCTGTATATAAAAAACACCAATATTTATTTACACTAAACACATAATTAAAACAAATCGCAAATAATGTTGCCATGGACAGCTGTCTCTGAAATAATAAGTTGATTTTGTTTCAAATTTTAAAATTTAAATTACCTGCATTATCATTTTCTGCATTGTCTTTGTGGGTGCCCCTTCATTGGTGTTTTGCATTGCATTGTCTGCACATTGTTGATGGCTTGCTAGTAGTTGGAGGAGGTGGTGTCGCTGAATCAAATGAACCACTTTGATATGTTGTTCCCTCTTCATACTCTAGTTAGTCCTCCTTATGCAGGCGTCGCTTTTTTATTGCCTTTCTTGCAAGTTTGCGTTTGTCGGAGCTGGCATCATAAATTCGTTTTCTGTCTATTACTTTCCATGCAGAGATACTTTCTTCGGGCAGCGACCACTCTAATTTTTTGAATAACTTGGAATTGAATCCAGTCGTTCCAGAGTTGAAGTGGGCTACCGCCAAAGAATGTCCAAGACGCACTTCGTGGTAGCCGTGATTAGAGTCCTTGGGCAAATTGCCCTATAGGCAGTGGTGAAAAGATTTGTTCCCGTTCTTGGCACCTAGCAATGATTGGCTGGACAATTTCTCTATAATTGGCCAAATTACATCTACCACTGCATCTGGAATCGGTCGTTTGAGTGGTTTATAAGTGGCCTCCCCTGTAACGACGTCTCTTTGCCATTTGCACCACGAGTTCATTCCGGTTGGGCAGTGCTCGTGCCGGGGCCGTTCTGCAGTGCTAGCATAATGTAGAACTGTTGCTCTCGTCTGCCTACTCATCTCCTCGACATTGCCTGAAAAAAAATACATGTAATTACAAAATGCTAATGAAAACTAATGACAAAGCGGCCCGACATTACGAGACGTAAAATTGCGATTTACACAAAAATTGTTTATGTAAATATCTGACGAACCTTTATTATTTCTGATAGCAATCCCATAGAAAGTCTGCAAGTTGTGTATTATTTTCTTGGTTAGCCTACCACGCCCTGTCAAACCTTTTCCATGGTCCAACTTATTATTATACTACACATTCAACCAAGTAAACAACTCAGAATGTAATAATTTTGTGGGGAGATTCATTTCAATTATTGATCTTTTATTCATAACCATGTTTTCTTCGTATTTCATTTTTTGCATGTAATGCTATGAGAAACTAGCACACCCAGTTGTAATTTGGCCAATATGTGTTCCGAACGTCGGAGTAAACACCGTATTCGTATTGGGCAATGAGAACGCCTCCCGCCCTACAAATTGTTACTTGACGCGATATTGGCAATTGGCAAATATTGTATGTTTTTGCGCTCGTTTTGAGCAGTTGCTTTCCAGTTGTTTACGAGTTAACATCTGTATTACGTTGTTGATTGAAG